ACATTAGAAATATTCATTCTTTTCATTGAAAGACCAAGAAAGAAACCATAATATGATAAAATGTAGTTAAATTACTGAAGAAATTGAGATTTTCACTTATTTACAACTTTATTATAGCTAAAATATAATCTAATAAAAGGAAAATCTTAGGTAATTTGACTAAGATTATATGTAATTTAGGCAAGAACGGGTCCAGAATGAGGCGGGTCAGGGCAGGTCGGGTCGATGAGAGATACCCATGCCCGCCCCGCAAACCCGCCCCAAAACAGGTCAAACAGGTCGGGTAAATCGGGTCAGGTCGAAATTGTCATCCTACAAATCTGAAGAAGCATCTTCTTTCGGATATTCCACGTTTACCACCCGCCCCCTGTTTCCTACTCCCTTCAAATAAGGAGACCAATGGTAATAAGTAAAGGGACAGTTTCTAATCGTAATTGGTTATTACTTGAGTAATATATGTTTTCCCCCTATTAATAATAGTGGTCATTTTTTTCGCAGGAGGACATGAGCTGCTTTATAACGGAACCGGCACTTGACGGAGAACATTAGCACAAATAGAGGGTCACAATCACAATCGCAGAAGTTGTGTCACACAACCAACCATCAATGGCCCAACTACATGTTGCTCACTCAAGTTTGCGATCATCAATAAATCACTCACTTATACTTCAACTTAGCACCTAAGAGAACACCATATCCACTCAACACAATTGATTATCGTTAGGTTGACACATGACATGTTAAGTGAATCATTTAGTCGCTAAGTTAACACAAAAGTGTGTTAAAATTAACATGATATACTTTAGGGTAAATCCAATTTATTAGCAAAATATTTCAAACTTTTCAAATTATTAGCCAATTTTTTTGAAATACAAAATATTAGCAAATTTTTTTGTACCGCATCAAGATATTGTCATTTATTTATTACCGTTAGTAATTTTGTAATTCTTTTTTAGTTTTTTTTTTTTACAAAAGAAACATATTAGCTAATCAACTTACTCATTCTTTTTTAGTTAAAATACTCAAACTTTGAAATTTTAACTGTCACGTGTCTCTTTCAAATCCGTATCATGTTGGCAAGTTAATATTACTAACAAAACTATTAAAGAAAAGTTAACAAAGGAATACTATTTTGTACTTTGAAAAGTTTGGCTAATAATTTGAGAAATTTGAAAGATTTGACTAATAAATTGTATTTATCCTAATTTCAAAATTATGTTGGGAGCTAGGAAATATTTTCATTTTGAAAAGTGTGATACATAATATTAAGATCATACTATGATGGCTAATGAGTAAGTCACTCTTAATGGCTAATCAATTGTTAATTGAAGATAAAAGGGAAAGGAGAATATCAACCTGATTTTTCGTTTAAACGCTTATTAATACGGTCAAACGAACAATTAATTATCGGTGTCAGAGTTTTTTGGAAATTTAGGATGCTAAACCATGTGCCAGAAGAAAAAAAGGTTAAAAAATATAAAATTTCCAAAATAGAAAAGAGGGGAGAACAAGTAAAAAAGAATCAACAAAGAAAGAGGAAAACTCCCTTTAAAAAAAAAAAAAGGAAAACCGACCGCAACGGAGGGTAACGGAAACGGCGTCTTGCCGATCTAATTAGTTTTTTTTGTTTCTTTTAAGACGAAGACGAAAAAAGGATAAAGAAAGAAAATCAAAGGGAAAAGATAAAGAGGAAAAAGGGGGGGAATATCCGTTCAGAAAATTCCGACGAAACGGGGTGGGCATATGTCTAAGGTCTCCCCCGTTCCTTGGAATATTCCCCGGGGAGATCCCCTTCATCCTCTCTGTTCTTCTTCTTCTTCTTCCTCCCTGCCTCCTCCTCCCTTTCTCCTTCTCTGTGTTGGAGTTGTTCACAATAACAGCAATGAGAGAGGCCTTTCCCCCTCTCCTCCCCATATATAATCCCCTCTGAAATTCCCATCTCCCCTCATAACCCCTCCACCATACAATAACCCCAGAAAGAAACAAGAAAGAAGACTTCTTTCTGTCCTAAAATGGCTCTCAAGGCCGTACACGTCTCCGACGTCCCCACTCTCGACATCGTCCAGGAGAATGCTTCCCTCGTCCTCAACCCGTCTCGCTTTTCCGCCGGTAAGGGGTTCTATTCTTGATCCCGGTGCATGTTTTCTGTAAAAAAAAAAAAAATTTGGTTAATTAACGGATGGGAACGATTTGATATTTGTCTGCAGGGGTGGACATGAGCGCTGGCGCCGGTGGCATCGGCCATGGGGCGGGATTCAGGCCGCCCAAGTTTCTGGTGGTTGGCCACAGAGGGCACGGGATGAACAATTTCCAGTCGCTAGATCCAAGGATGAGAGCCATTAAAGAGAACACCGTCATGTCATTCAACGCGGCCGCTCGGTTCCCTCTCGACTTCGTCGAATTCGACGTTCAGGTTAGCTCCCGCCTTTTCTCTAAATCTGCTAGTGTCTATTTTTGCCGGTGCGGTTCCCGGCAGCCGCGTCTTGCATTTTTTTTTAATTTGCCCAAACTGCCCTCTCATCTTTAATCCGTCGCTGAATAATAGACCAAATTCACCGTCGATTTGTTTTCTCAGCATCACTATTCAGTATTCACTAGTTCCATAATTTCTTGTGTACACGTTCTCGATTGGTTAGGCTTACGTTCTCAAAGACAAAGTTGCTCCCTTTTTGGACTTTTCCGAGCAGCTAAAACAAAAGCTGAACTGCTCTGTTTGTTTCTTCTCCTGCTTTTGTAGGTCACCAAAGATGGCTGCCCTGTCATCTTCCACGATAACTTCATCTTTTCCGAGGATAACGTAAGCTCATCTCCTTTCCCATTTCCCTTACTACTCAACCCAAATTCCACTTATCCGATGTGCGGCTTACTAATCTGCAATTCGATTCCGTCCAAAACAGGGTACAATCTTCGAGAAGCGAGTAACCGAGCTCTGCCTCGCCGAATTCCTCGCCTACGGCCCCCAGAAGGAAGATCCGACCTCCACCTCGCCACCGGCGAGCAAACCCCTTTTGAGGAAAACCAAAGACGGCAAAATCGTGAGGTGGGAGGTGGAAAACGACGAGCCTTTCTGCACGTTACAGGAAGCTTTCCAGCAAGTGAAGCCGGCGTCTCTGGGGTTCAACATCGAGCTCAAATTCGACGACCATGTCGTCTACCAGCAGGACTACCTCGTCGGAGTTCTTAACTCGATCCTCAAGATCGTGTTCGATTGTGCAGAAGGACGCCCCGTGATATTCTCCTCGTTCCAGCCCGATGCCGCGCTGCTCGTCAGGAAGTTGCAGAGTGTTTACCCTGTTTACTTCCTGACAGATGCAGGGGCAGAGACTTTCTACGATTCGAGGCGAAACTCGCTGGAGGAGGCGATTAAGCTGTGTTTGGAAGGTGGGCTTGCTGGTGTTGTCTCGGAGGTGAGAGGGGTTTTCAGAAATCCCGCTGCTGTGGGGAAGATCAAGGAGTCCAAGCTATCTTTGCTCACTTATGGCAAGTTGAAGTAAGTACCTCCTTCTACCAAAGTTTGAGGCTTTAGTTTCATTTGTAGACGGATTTTTAATTTGTTTGCTTACGGGTGTGTTGATCTTCTATTGCAGTAATGTGGCCGAAGCAGTTTACATGCAGCATTTGATGGGGATTGATGGGGTGATTGTGGATTTTGTGGCCGAGATCAGTGAAGCAGTTAATGCGATGATTTCTCCATCTAAAGAAGAAGAAGAGGCAGAAGAAGGGAGGGTGTTGTTGGGAGATGGAGGAGAGGAGGTAAAAGCTAGGCCGCAGTTCTCACCCAAGGAGATATCGTTTCTGCTGAAGTTGATTCCAGAATTGATACAGCATTGAGCTGTCAAGTTTTGGGGTTGTGTAATGTAGCATCCATTGTTGTAAATACATTTTCTTAACTCGGTGATTTGGGTTATAGTGGGTTTCTTGTATCGAGAAGTTTGGGGAGGGATGATTAATTATATTTGACCGGAGGAAGAGGATGGGAGAAATAGGGCAAACAAGAAGGAATTGTGCGATTGGATTGTCAAGTTAAACTTGAGTTTACCTGTACCTTTCTGGTTTCTCTCTATGGAGTATTCTTGATGCATATATGAGCGCGGTAGCAACTAGAGACGCCGTCATCTCGTTGGTTATGCATTTGATTGCAATCGAACATCTGTACTAGTACGGAGGATATATTGATTTGATGCACATAAACACTTCCCGCGCTCAAGGATGGAAAGGTATGTCGACTCTCAAAGTGCAGCTGAATTAGCATCCTATCTATTTTCTTCTGCCTGTTGTGAAGTATTGGGTCATCCAAGCAACAAGCAAGTGACTGGGACGACAATACACATAAATTGAATGAGGTAAGAGGGGCGATAATTTATTGAAGGTGGGGTATTTAACGTCTCTCAATATCGACTTCATTATAAAATATTAATGTTGTTTAGTTGATAATTGTTTTCTTAGAGTTAAGCTATATGAGGCGACATGAATAATATTTATAGGGATTTGTTGGATGCCATTATTTTCATGAATCGAATAATTGTAAGAGCACATTAGTTTAGACTGTAAACGGTAAAACTACGATTTTGACAACAATAACTTCTATTAGTCAAAGCCTTTGTAGTCTATGGTTAGAAGAAATGAAACATTTATATTTATGCATGAATTTCTTAAGTTATCGCTCGATATAAAAACGACGATAATGCTCATCTTATCGATACAACATAGGATATTAGGATGAGTTTAGGCTTCTTTGGCGTGGAATTGCCTACTTTGGATGAGAATTGATACACTTGTATCAAGGCTCAAGGGTAAGCAACGATATGGGCTTGATACAGGCAGTTTGGGCTTGGCAAAGCAACAGAGCCTACATTTTCTTTAGCCCAGAACGCCCAACACAGTTTGGACAAGGCTTCACAACTGGATTTACTGTTATCTTTTCATCATCAGAGCGCGAAAAATTTCCCACTTCTTTCCTTCCACCAAACAGAAAAACCAAAAGAAATTCCCTCCACAGCATGTTGGATGAACGACGGAGTTGCTCCTCGATCGCGCTTGGACTATTCACGGCGGATTCGCCATCATCGTTTCGACGCTTCTCCTTCCACACTAAATCTGAGTCTCCGGTTCGTCCTTGTTGCTATCTTGCTGATTTGAGCATTCTTCGGTTTTGCGTTCTCAGTCTTGCACGATCTCCTACAGGAAGCTTTGAACAAGTAGTCTAAACCGTATTCGTTTGGTATGCTTTTTCCAGATACATGGCGTTTCTGATTGGGTTCAGTTGGTGCATTTGCTTCTGTGGTATTTGGCATTTGCGTAGATAGACATGATGCTTAGGGTTTCGATTTGCTAGTGATATTGCTCGAAATTGTGTAGCCTGAGACAGCACATTGTTGGCAAGAAGGAATGCGTCAATACAATGGGAGGTTCTGAATTTCGAGTAGTTTCTTAGTGTTTCGTTATAGGCAGCTGAATGGTGCTTTCATTCAGGCTCTCATGGTGGATATCCAGCCATGGAGTTCCTTGAAGGAGCCTGGCAAGTTAGTGTTTAAGTGAATATTTCGGAAGTATGATGAGATCGCAGCTGATTTATTGATATGCTGGTTGCGTTCCTTTGGTTGACTGGTGGAACCTCACGATTTCCAGAAATGTGAATTTAAGTAGCGGAGGATGATTTGTGCACCAATTTTTTGAGTGGGTTCAATGCCTTATGAAGATGGATGGCATTGTAGATGAAGTAGATTATGGAACCAGTGGAGACTTTGAAAGAGTGGGAGCGTAAATAATCTTGTATTCCTCTGATGAAGTTGATGGTGCTGAAAGTATGGTACTGCAGGGTGCATCCTTTGTTTGAGCTCAGGTAGAATGCCCCTTTCCCCGAGAGAGAGCGACCATTGAAGATGCATCATGTCCTAGTGATGATTATAATGGATATATATTGGCACGGAGATGGGTGATACCCCGAGCTGGTAATTGACCTTGCTTGCTGATTTCAAGGCAACAAGTTACTGAATGGAGCTAAAGTGGTGCTGTTGGTTTGTGGAAGTCCTCATTAACAGGTGATTGGAAGCTTAGATGATGGAACAAGCTTCTATATGGCTCTCTGCAACAAGAACTGTTTCCGTATCTACTGGTAAACTTGGATGAAGGTTGCACTTGCACGGATAGAAAGCTGTGCTAGTAAGAAACGATTACTCGACTCATGCCTAAACAGCAGAAAATGATAAAGGTCTGTTTACATCATCCGTCCTCCCTTTTTATCTTCTTTCAAATCTCCATTTTGTTTATCTAATCACAAGTTGTGTGTTTGCGTGACTGACTGAACTGGTACTCTGTTGGGGTTGTTGTGCGCAGGCTTGGCATATTGGCGTGGTTGGAACCTGGAACAGGATGTGAGCAGCCGAGATACCCAGATAAACAAAGGAAACAGCTTGCTTGGGAATAATTAGATTTAAACAGGTGGGCAATCCAATCAATTGGAAGGATCGGATTCAAGTCATCGATTCTCCAAAATCAATTGGTATGCTTATGATATAAAAATTCTGAGATAGCGTATTAGTTAGGCCTATGGTTGTGGTCAAGTTATTCCCAGCTTTGGCATTCTCTAGGGGAAATGATTATCATATCAAGTCTAATCCACAGCGTTAGTTATTCTTCTTATAAACACTACTATATGAGTAAGTTAATCCCATGTGGCAAACTGGTTAGTCGGGTCGTTGAGGGTTCGGTCAGATAAATGGTCAATTCATTTTTATGATTATTTACGGGTTCTGAGAACTTACCGAATGGGTTAGCCATTTGAGGCTAGAAGTTGACAAACAGATCGGTTATCGGTTAGATTTAAGTGATCGTTCACTCATTGTGAGTTCGGTCCAACTGGTTTGAGTCATATCAGGTTGTGGTCAATATGAGTCAGTAATGGCTTTTGACCGGTTGGGTTGGGTCAAAATGCAGCCACGTCGTTTTCACTTTGGTATTCCTGTGACAGGTGATGCCGATGCCATCAGTTTACTTTGCGCCTGAGGGGTTTCTTGGGTTTTGGCTGACTTACATCTAGCCGGCAACTTTGCGTCTTACTCCACACTGACAGCTACGGGATACAAATACTTGTATTCGTAGGTACAAGGCCAGCATACGAAAAAAGTAAAACAGGTACACGCTTTGTTGTCTATTCTTCTCTTACTTGTCACCCGAAAAAGAAAAAATATTTGGAAAATCCTGAGATTTGGCATTTGGATGGTTTATATTATGGATATCGTTACTCTGGGAATTCTAATTCTAGATTGTTAATTGATTATCATGCTTGCCGGCTGGGAAATAATTGGAGGGTAAAACATTTGAATATATCATACAATCTGAGATGGACACTTACCGTGGATTGTTCAGTTCAAATATATTAATTACTATATCTATAGGTAATGTCAGGAACTAAAACTCGAATTAAACTTCTATAATTGGTTTCTTAGACGTGTATGATAGCACCTTTTTATTTTAAAGACTAGGGGTGTAGATATCAGTCATTAGAATACGCATTGGACCATCCCAAAGAAGTAGAAATAATTGAAGGGAGTTAGGGGTCACTCGACTTCTATGCCTCGACATGCTCACAGGAGTAGCTAGGAGGTTCACTGCTAGAAGACGTCGCTAATGCCGTGAAAGGCAAAATCCCCATACCCCATAGGTGAAGATTAGTTTGTTTGCTAGGGAGAAAGACTGTACTTTCTTTTGTAGTTTTACGTAAGAAACATTAGACTATTTTATCGAACTTGTCTTAAGAAAGATATTAAAGGGGTTAATCTATGAACTAACCATATTTAAATGGCACAAATCTCTGTTGAATAATATATATAGATAGGTCTCCTGAAGTGGCACGTAAAATTGTCAGGAAGGAAGGGGATACCGATGCATAGAAATAATAGAGAAGCAATTAAGGAGGAGGTTCATAGACAAACTTGGGAAATGAAGGAAGGCACTGTCCCCAACAGAAGGCAATGGGACCAAATTGGCTTTTCTTTTCTTTTGGCGAGAAGAGAAGGAAATAAAACATCCTACCCACCAACGAAACCATTAGAATAATGGAGCAGCTAGCCTGTCCAATACATTGAACAACGCAGAACATGGTGGAGCAGGGAACTCGAGATAGATAGATAATCTTAAACAAAATATATCGTGAGCATCCATTTTGAATAGTAATCAGAAATCGAATCTTATTAGGCAATAACCACTAATTGGCTCTGAAGAGACCTCCACCACTTGGCATGTATTGCGTAGTTTAATTCCCTAAATCTGTGTTATTCATTGATAGAAGTGACTCTCATTTGTTTGTGTGCCTTTCCCTTCATTTCCTCTATTAAAATTTCAAGAGAGACAGAGAGATTCGAATAGAAAAGTTCATTGTTTATCACTATGGTTCTGTTTAGGGGCTTTTAACTTATTGAACCACACAATCTGGAGAATGATGAAGATATAATTATGTTTTCTATGTTGTTGTAAAGTTGCACACTCTTCATCAACAAGTAAAAAACATATATGATGTAGGAGTGAGTTCTCTCATTTCGATACGGTTGGTTGACTTTGTTGCATTGTGTTCATTTGGTGGATCTGGAACATAAGGTCTCCATCATTTTATTCAGTTTGATCTTTGATTGAAATTATACGGAAACATGTGGGAGAGTTTGATTTCTTCTCATTGCCAACCCTAAGACGGGTGGAAGGGGGTTGGTTATGTAACATTAACCATTTGGTGATGTCTTTGTTTGGAGGTTAGCCTTGGCTGTTATGGATGCCGAGGTTTGAAATTCTGCATGATAGGTAAGGTAATGCCAATTAGTAATATTGATTTTTCTTCGTTATCATTGGTTGCTTTCTAACTCCCAAACCCTTTCTACCAAAAAGAAACAACATGTGCATTTGGTTCTCTCTATTTGGTAGAGTTAGCGAGTGCAGTCTAACACTAAAATAGCAATGGGTCTAGAGCCAGTGGCACATCTCCTCTTTTAAAATATAAATAATAGTTATAAATGATATGACTCATAAAATAAGAAAATGACCGATTAAAACAAGATACAACAAAATAATACAACATATTTCTAACTTTTACAATGTTGTAAAATGCACTTAATATATCATATTAGACAGTCGCTAATGAATTGATTGCCTATTTAATTGAAGATCAAGAGGGACTCGCTTGTCTTGATGTTTTGTTTCTTGTTTCTTGAATGAAAGAAGGGTCTTCGTTGGGAGGAATTTAATTTTTAGAGTTTGCATGAAAAATTGAGAGAAATGAGATTTAATTGTATTTTGTCTCGGTTTATAAATAATTTCAATCTCTTAAGCACAAGAAAAAATTGCTTCTACTTTACTAGATGACATGTTTTTCAATAGTTGCAGGATCATGGTTCATATCAGTAACACTATCGCTTATTTTTTTCGAACTTGAACTACTTCCCATATGTCGATAAAATTTTCCTATTGGTCCTCTCCTAGGTCCTCTCCTATATAGACCTTTGCACTAGGATTACAGAACAAAGCTCTCAAGCTAAAGAAACACTTTATTATCCCCATCGGAATTTTTAGAAGTTTTAAGTATACTCTCATTCTTTTTATCATAATTTTCGCTCGTACATTTTAGCTCCACAAAATTTATTTTTAAGCTGAATTATACTTCGAATCGGCAATACTCTTGAAAATGTTGGGTCAAACAAATTACAAAGATCATTGGGCCAAAAGCAACAAAAACATTGACATATTTGCGTGGTTAGTGTAAATACTGAAAGTATATACAAAGGTATAGTAGTAATTTTCTTTTTGCTCGTCAAATAATACTCCCTTTGGCCATATACAGTCCCTGACTTCCTGTTATACATAATTCAGGACAACATAGCAACTAGTAGGCGGTCAAAACAATTATAGAAAAGAAGATAGTGCCATTATTTTGTTCGTGCTTGACATTAGGTAGTGACACCTTCTTTTGATGTGTTCCTCTTGTGTCGATAGAAATCACAACAGGCATAAATTATGCTTAAAATGTTGGCAAAGCATACTCCAACATCGGGATTTTTGGAGGGGGGATTGGGAACTCAGAACTTGAAAGCAAAAGGGGGTATTGATTTTTCTGAAGTGATAATTACAATTGCAAGCTCAACAGTTAAGGAACGCGTCTTTGTTATGCGGCTAATTGCATTGGGCGTGAGAGAGAAATTCTCTTCTTCTTGTTGTTTCCATCATCACGTCCCTAATGTTGGGTTACATTGAACACCAATTTTGCATAAGCATCATCATAATAATATATACTTAATAGTAAATAAGTAAATTCTTATTTTCGTAATTCCAGATGTGCTCGCATAGGAATTGTCTTGGTACCTACGTTTGTTTGCATTTGATGTGTTTTGTCCCAATATTTGGGTGGTTGTAATCACCGCTTATTCTCCTTACAAATGGCGCCCTGTTGTTTCTTTTGACAAGGAGGCTTGCATTTAGTTTTTAACTTTTTCTTTAATTATGATGATTAAGGCTCCATTGCTTGTTGTTTTCACTATGGACTGTTTCTGACTAGGCCGTCATTCTTCCTTGGCTTCTTCAATCAGATAGATGTCTTCATTACTACTACATCAAACTTAGACGCACGATAACAACATCCACCTCACGGTTTGAGGTTCACCAGGTTAGAAACTTTCAAAGGGGAATCTTTGCATATTTGCTTCTTGAACTCCCGTCTATTCTCTTTATTAGTATTGTGATGCAAGCTGTTGTGTCAAGATAGTAAAACACATACTAGAGTACTGGTTTTACTGTGGTAAAATGGTAAATTAGAATAGTGACGTTTAGGTATTGAATTGAATTTTTGCATATGCCGAATCGAATATACAGTCCAATTCCATGCTTTTCTTTTCTAAACGCTTGTTTAATTAGAGGTACAGTAAAAGTAACGTGGCAAACGTGCAGCTTAAAGACAGTAGGTACATAACCGTGTCCTTCCTTCCTTCTTTCCAATCCAGAGTTTTTTGACCGAAAGCTTTGGGAGTGTGTTTTCAGTTTTGTTTTGGCCTCGAGGGAAGGCCTCTTTTGGTGTACGCACACGTTTTGTAGAGAGTCAGTTTTGTAGGGAAGAGAACTCCTTAAATTTTAATCTAATCTCCCTATGGGGAAAAAATAAAGGAAATGAAGAGGGAGAGAGAAATGAGATACCAAATGTGGTGGCGTCATAGTCTAAGGATGGGAAGGAGTTTTGGAGTCAGTCGGAAGGAGTATATAGTTATCTGAATTGGAAACAACTTATTTTGCCAATTTTCCCATTTCTTGGAATTTCTTCTTCACCCCCACCCCCTTCCATCTATCTATATATAAACAACCTCTTTCTCTTCCACCATTTGTCTTGCCTTGCCCCTCCATTACTATCCCCCACCACCAAAGGCCACAGTTCCACTTTCTCTCGCTCTCTCTCCGAGTTTCCTAGTTTATCCACCCCTTAAAAGGAAACCCTTTATGAGTCTGTGAGACTCACCTATCAACTTAGTCTCCAAGTTGTCTGTAGTAAGTAGTACTAAGCGAGGGAAGAGCGATTAGGCAGAGGAAAGAAGAAGGGGAAATGGAGAAAGGAAGCCCAGTTGCTGTGAATGGAGGAGTCAAACTGCCTATTGGGTACAGATTCCGTCCTACAGAGGAAGAGCTCATCGTCCACTACCTTAAACGCAAGGTCTTTGGTCTCCCATTGCCTGCTTCAGTCATCCCCGAGCTCGACGTTTTCCACTCTCATCCTTCTACACTCCCAGGTACTTATAAATACAATCGACCAGCAAGAGAAGAAACCTGATTGATAAGCACCCATTTCCATTCCTCGATTTAAAAGTAATGAAAATACCCTGGTGCTAAAATTTTCCTGCTGCAGGCAACTCGAGGGAGAAGAGGTATTTCTTCTGCAAGAGAGAGGCAAGTGGCGGTGATGATAATGGTGAGAAGAATGGTATTGTTGACAGTTCATGTGGCAGAGGTTACTGGAAGCATACTGGGAAAGACAGACATATGATTCTGTCTGCCCCTTCTCCTTCTTTCAACTGCCAGTTGGTTGGGATGAGGAGAAGTCTGGTTTTCCGCAGACACAAGAAGGCTTCTGCTAATCAAAACAATCAGTGGGTCGTGCACGAATTTTCCCTTCTTGGCTTGGCCACAATCCCCTTCACAAATCAGGTATATATCTAGTTAACAAGTATTGGATTACAAGTAAACAGTCCACAATTCCGGATTAGATTTACACTTTCTGTTGTTTAGTTTAGCTAGCTTCTAATTGTATATGCTTTTGGGGTGATGGATGGCCAGGTGACAAAGGTGAAGTTGGGAGACTGGGTCTTGTGCACTGTTTTTGAGAGGAAGAAGAAGAGAAGGCCTACTACTACCAATAACAAGAGCCAAAACCTTCAAGGGGTCAACACCTCAAATAGTTTCCCAGTCCCAAATCAGCCGGAAGTCGAGGAGACGATCACAGGCCCTAATGATAATGATTCCTCCATGGATTTTAGAATGGAAGAGTTGTCTGATGCAGGGCCTATTGATCTACAAGAGGAGGAAGACGAAGAAGAAGAAGAAGGGCCTTGTTCATCGTCTTCTTCAGTATCACCATGTTCAAGTGGAATCACTGAGCTTTCTTCTCCTACCAAGTCACCAAATGGTGGGTTAGATCACCAGGAAAAAGCTCGCACTTCAGTCAATGTTGGCTTATGTTCTTCTTCTTCTACTACTAGCAGTAGTTATTCTTGTTAGAGTTTTAGTAGGCGGGGGTGGAAAAAGAGGTAAAAACCGGATTGAAAGGAAACAAAAGCACATGCCAAGCTATTACTAGCTGCTTCCTAATTTGAGGAGCAACCAAGCCCAATGAGAAGTAAAATTACTTACCAACCAAGCCTTTGTCATCTCTGATTATTAGCTGTTTGTCGGGTTAATTATGACCAAAAGATGGAAATGAGAATCGAGAGAGAGAGAGAGAGAGGGATTGGGGAAAAGTGTTAGATTTGTTGTTTCATGTTTAAGGAGCCTATCTATTGTAATTGATATTTGTACCAAGATTTCAAACAAACAAATTCATTGCATTCTTGAATCATGTCTGGTTTCTCTTCCTTTCACCTACTTTACCCCCAAGTTATGATTTTTACCACAACTCTTAAACCATCATGGTGATGGGGAAAAGGAAAAGGAAAAGGAGGTGCTGATGCTGGCAAATGGGAATCAAATAATGTCGTCGTCTTATGAAGTTTTGGTGGCTAATCCACCATTTCATTTCACACCGGGGATGCTCAAGAGATTTGATGGCTTGTGGCCGGAATTCATTGTTTGGTTTACAAAATGGGAAATGATACATGATGGGTTTATGAGGGGTGTTCAAATGGTTACCATGGTTATTACCAAATCAAATAAGATTAAATTTCATTAACCATGGAATGCAATATCATAACCAAATCGTCCAAACTAATACAACAACCAAATTAACCAGATTAACCAATATAAAATCATATTATCATCAAGTGAGAAAAATTTTCGGTTAATTTATCAATTCACAATTTATATCATGAATAAAACATAACAATCAACACATTGTTATAGTTGACCCTTAACATAAATACATGCAACTAAGACAATTATCTTATGGTTAGTATAGAAGTATTCACCTAACAAAAATTTATCACAATGGTATGGATTTGGTTTGGTTTAAGTATGTGTATATATTAGATATATAACTAATTATTTATCTGGTTAATTTGGTTTGGCTGGTTAGGAGTGTCTGAAACCAAACCAAACCACCTAAACCAAACAAGCTAAAAACTTTAACCAAACCAAACCAGTTATCCAAATTAACCAAACCAAATTATCCAAATAGTACTGGTTAAAACGGTTACCGTGGTAACCACTCCGTTTGGACACCCCTAGATTTATGGATATTTAGGATTTTGAAATGATGTGGAATTCATAGGGAATAAAGACTGAAATTTCTAGACTTATGAGAACATCAATCACATTACTTATCGATAAAGAAAAGTTTATGAAAATGATTACTATTCATCTCATAATACATGAATTTTTTATTATGAGTATGCAGTTCTTGCATCTTTATTTTTTGATAAAGTTGATTATTTTATTGCAAAGGCGCTAGGAGATACAATATAGGAGTATACACCAAAATAATACATAATAAAAGTTTACAGAACAAGTTGCCAATTCAACCTAACAGACAACTCAATCTCTATAAAATAAGTCAGAAAATATCACAAATAAGCTATCAAAACATAAACTAACAAGCACAAATATCGAACTCAAAAAATGCCATCCTTATTATATTTTAACCACCAACAAACATTTAACTCATTAACGACATCCACACTTTTCATCTCTTCGTGAGAAATAAGAATGAATAGATCATATATTGTGAATGTCATTCATTACCTACACAATCTTATTAAGTGGATATTAAAATTAGGCCTTTAATTATTATTAAGAAGCACAAAGAAAACCTAAACCCATCTTTGAAAAAAACATCTTTCAAAAGGCAAATTGCATTTCTTGATCTTAGGGCGATGAATGATTACTTTGGAAAAGCCAGATTACATTGCACACATGTGTTTGAGAGCAAAAACCTATATGATGATACAAAATACAAATACACGTTGTACAAAAGAAAGAAAAAGGAGGCAAGAAGCAGCCAAAGATTAGAACCAAAAAGGCAAACAAAAATGGGCTTCTTCTTCTTTGTATTATTGTATATAGACTACAGGATCAAATGAACGATTCCTCATTATGGCCATTGGTGGTGGGGAATTGGGGGCATCAGCACATGCTAGCTAGTTGATTCCGTTGTTCATATACATACTTTTAATTGAATGATATATTCCCCAATTATCATTACCATTATTGATTATTATTACATTCATATTCTGAATAAATACTTATTATTATTATTATTATTATTATTATTATTATTATTATTATTATCTTCTGTGACCATGAATGATAACGTTGTTCCCAACTTCTTCATGATAATTATTTGTTTTCTATTCTTCCTCCGCTCCATTTGAATCTATACGAGACTTTGTGGAAGCTGGAAATGTGTAATGGAAAGGGTTTCCTTCACTGTCTCTGGGTCCTCCTGCCACTGCTGCCTTATTCACCCATGTAGCCATGTTGGTGTCTTATTTTATTAGGAGATGGAGTTAAAGAGCAAGGATTTGAAGTTAATTTCTAATCAAGTTAAGAGATGTAATGTTTGGTCGAATCTCGTATGCGAAGTTTGTTATTTTGTAAGTAATTATTCAATTTTATGTTGAGTCTGGTGGTTGAGAAGCGTGAAGTTGGTAGTCAGGCAAGAAGGGTAGTAATTATAGGTTATGAAAGATAATGAAGGCAAATAACAGGTACATAACACAAAATAAAGCTAAAGCATGCTAATGGAAGGTAAGTGATGGATGAGAGGTGGAGTTTTGAAGGATTTCTATCTTATGAATAGTTGGTATATATTTTTTAAGGTTGATCAAGGTTCATTTTATAGTAACGAATGAATGGAATTAGAATAATTAATTCAAACGGGTAATTACTCTAGTGAACTATCAACTAATTTGAATTGTTTAATTTGTTTAATGCACATTCAAAGATGGTAATTACCAAATTTGCTGGGAAGAATTTTTAAATGAAATTGTAGGTAGGTGAAAAATTAATTAAGCTAAATTGAAATCCAAATAAAAGTATCAATTTGGATTACCAAAATGGGGCCTTTGACCTCCAAAATTGGAGATCCAAAAAGACACTACACTACACATGTGTATCATATGATTATATATACAATCAGCAACACAGCATCATAAGGTTATTCATGTGAGTTTGGGCTTAAAACTATACTATAAAGTAGTTTTCATCATTGATGGATGAATACAAAGTACTTTTGGAACGATGATAGTATTTCTAGTATTTGTACTCGGTAGTTCTGACATATAGATTCTCATACTATGATTTTGGAGTAAACACTTTCGAGGAAATTTTACCATGCTCACATGTACCGACATTTTCAGGTTTAAGTTGAATTTGTACTATAACGTTGAATGTACAAGTTTAATTTATATCATAAAGAAATTTATACAGAAAGGTATAGGTACAAATTGAGTTTGCACCATAAGGTTAAGGTACATATTCAGTTTGTATCATAAAGAAACTTGTACGAAAAGATATAAATAGAAATAGAAATTGTATTATAATATTAAAAATACAAGTTCAATTTGTACCAGTATATTTTGGTAATCAAAATCACCAGTACTTATGAGCATAGTAACAGAGCTCTTGTCTAGAAAGTGGTTTACTTGCCCGTTGTCTCTTGATTAGAAACTTATTATATGAAATAATTGTATACAAGATTTGCTCATATTCATTCCCTTCAAATTTAAAAGACAAATAAACTAGTTCATATTTAGTAGTTTGGATATTTCATATGTTATATATGTTGAAACGTTCATGTTCATGATTTGCTTATAAGTCTGACTTCTTACTTCGCATCTTATCTGATTTTTAATATGCACTCATTATTTGAGATTTAATGAAGCTTCTATTAACTAATCGGGTCGCATTGAGATGCAAACTAAGGATGGATGTACATCATGCATGATATGTGAGTTATCACAGACAAGTTGACTATCATACACGTTATTAATGAGATGTTGTGTGTTGACCAGCTAACCCTAGCCAACGAGACAGTTTTATTTAGGGTCACGATGGCATTCCACGTAAAACGAATTTTTCATCATCTATTAATTAGTGTAGTTGCAAATATAAATAATTAAATTCAATATGACCGAGTAGTCTTTTCTCTTTCTTTCTTCTCGGTATAAATCATTTTCCAAGGAATGAACAAAGATCTATTGCTCTATATGCCAAAGTTGAATTGATGAAGATTACAAGGAACTAAAATTGAAAAAAGGAGAATCTATTGATCCTTTGTCAAAAACAAACAAATAAAGGTTAGGAAAAAATTATGAATAAGTCATTGAGTAATGAGTATATACTATATAGTTATGTTGTTAACGAATTAGGTTGCTTTCAAGCCAGACAATTGAAACCTAAAATTTGACAAAATTGAAAAAGAAAGCCAACGCCCTCAAATTTCACAAGATAGCGGCAACCGCCAATTAAAAGTATAATAGCTCAAAACACCAATTACTGTACATTCAGACTGTTTTTCCTATTCATTGTGACTCAGAATTACTATTCACTGAGTTCTTATTGGTTGTTGCTTTGATGTGGGTCCGGATTTTCCTTCCCTCTCCCTTTGAACTGTCGACGAGACCTCTGTTTTCCATTGCTTGATATCTGTGTAGGGCTGTAGGTGTTGGGGTCTAACGCGAAACCCTCTTCGTGGAAAGTCGCGTTGATCACAAATCGACTGCCAGCGCCCGGTAAGGCCAGAAGCACTCTTGATGCTGATGGGAAGTATCTGTCAGCTCTCTCTCGGTTATTTGGGTTGCTTTGAATTGGGGCTCAGTTCTCTATGCTTGGAACCCATCCATTTTTTTCTTTTGATCGCTTTCGTTGCCCTTTGCTTTGGTCACATATGCTTTGTGGGGCCGATGCTTTTGGCCGCGCATCCCTTGGGTCAGAGAGGATTGCTGATGGATGTTTTTAGGCATAGGGACTTCAACCGCCATTTTGGGAAACGGTGACTCCCCCTTTGATTGACGTAGGCGCTCCTTGCAGAGAGAAGAGAGCATGTGTCAGTGGGTGGAGGTATCAAGGAAGGCAAAAAAAAAAAAAAAAATCACAGCAACTCTTTTTCTCCAACACATATTCTACCTATCCTTCATTCCTCTCAGTTTTCTTTTACTCATCCCGTTTCTTTTCTCTCTTTCTGAGAAGATCGGTCAGAACTATCCAAAAGAAGAGTGTTGGGTGTTGTATCTTCAATCTTCATCGCTGACTACCTCCATGGTGAGAAACTGAATAGCGGATTCAAGTGGATGGTCGTCTGTGCATCCAAAGGGTATTCCAGGAGGTTGCATCTCCGGCGCCGTTGCTGCGACCGCCGTTTGGTAGATGAGGTAAGCGCCGGTTGAAATTTTGCTTTAAGGTGATTATTCCCCCCTTCTTCAGATGAAATTGTTTTTGTGATCTTAAGTGGGTTTGTTCTCTCTTTCTTCTCAGAGTGTTTGTTTGATACTTTTTACAGGTTTATACATAGTCTATGGTCTCTCCGAGAAAGGAATGACCCAAAGGATTGGATCGACGGGAAAAACACGCTGACTATGGAGACGTGAAAGATCCCTTATGCTTTTGTGTAATAATAGGTCATGTTTTCTCTTTGTATTTTTCTTTGTTTCTTTGTGTTTTGGGTTTGGTTTGCTCATCTGAGTTGTTGATGAGCCCTGATTTATTCCTCCGCCTCTTTGTGGTTCTGTTTCATGTCTCATGTCTTTTTTGGAGCCCGGCGGAGTTCAGAGTGATCATATTGCTGGCTTCAAAACTCGAGAGAGAATTCTGGAAATTCTTGGATTCATCTACTTTGTTCATTTAAATTGCAGGTATTTTTCTCTTCTCTATGTCTACATTTGCAACGATTGTTCCAATGATTTTTTCCATGGTGCGGTTTTGTTTTCACGATTTATTCCCTCTCTAACGCTGTCCTTTGTTTATCTTCTTTTAATATCTGGGTTTGATGTTTTACTTGCAGTCCCCTTTTTCACCTTCGAAAAGGTGGTGCTGGTAATCACGATGAGTGAATAGCAGGGGTTGATCGTAGATTTAAAGGTAGAGAAGTTTGCTATTTTCTGATTGTTGACTCGGTCTTTGGGTAACTCCATGGTATAAGGATTCTTCTCTGATTTTTTCCTTTCTTTTTTGTTAATTGTATTGTTGGTCTCTTCTTTATCACTTGATTCATGCTTTAGTGTATAAAATAAGAGAACTAATAAAATTTATAAGGGGTTGGTGAACTATCTCAAATCTTCTCATCCCCTGGAGTCCTGGATATCACTAAACGATTATAGTCCAATTGCCTAATGACATATTTCTAAGCATCGCCTAGAAGTTTTGGGTAATAGATTGCTTTCCGTGTGATTAGCTTGGTTACTTACAGTTCCATATATATACCTTTTAAGGAAAAACATGTTCTTCTGGTTTTTTTTAATAATAGAGTACCAGATATGTTATGGTTAATGCTCAACAGTATGGGATAGCTAGACTTCCTCATTAATTTTCTGTGGTGGCTATTAAGCCAGGATACTGGTATGGTTTGGTTTGTCAGGCTAATGGTGATGATCGGTTGTCACTGTCCATGGTTAATCTTCAGCCTATATCTTCTTGCATTTGTACATTTTGTTTTTTTTTTGTAAAGTTAGAATGTTCTTCACTTTTGTCGATCACTCTTTTTGTTTAGTTTTGATTCTGAACCTAATTCATATATATTAACTCTGTTACTAACTTTAGATTCTTTCACACACGTTATCTGCAACTAATGTATGGAGATGATTTTGTTTGTTTACGAGGGATCTTTTGTGTTGTTATAATATGTACATATTATCTATGAAATCCAGTAACTAGACTGCCTTCATTGGTTTGAGTTTTTGTTGGTTAGGGTCACTTATTTTGCTGCGAAAGTGTGCTGATTATCTCCACTGAGATTGTCTATGCTTTCTAAGCTGCCTGTAACTATTTGGCAGGCTTCAGTTCGCTACTTTTTATATGGCAATTAACTTGGTTTTTGTGTTCTTGACAATGTTTGATTTGACTTTGATTGCCTACTTTCTTGGCACAATTATTAACAACAAACAAATTTTATTGTTGTTGTAGGTGAGCTGCATAGTTACCCTGATAATCGTGGACAAATAAGGTTTCAGTAGTAGATTGGGACTTATTTTTTAAGGTTTAGTGGTGTTGATTAATTAGCTAACTGAAAACATGTAAACTTTTTGTACTAATTATGCTGCTGGGCTATTTCTTGGTGAAACCTCAACTTTCAAAGTGTAATGCTTAATGCTCCTGTTACTTCGAGAATAAAATGAAAATATGTTTTTGGTTTGGATACTTATTACTGTGTGTCCATGTGATATCAATTAATTAGTTTAGTTTAGTTTTTTTTATGAACTAAAAAATAACTCATATCCCGCCGCGGAGCGCGGGTAAGAAAACTAGTAAAAATAGTGGTAGGTATATGACACTAAGGAAACTAGAATATTGATACTTTATAACACGATTAATCATCACCATTGAAAAAAAAACTATGAGTTGTACTCGTTAGCATGTGATAAGAAAGCCATTTATTTCGTTTAATTTCAATATTAGCATTGGTAATCATCCACTATTAAGATGCAAAACCCGAAGCTTGTCTATAAAGAGATTTTTTTATAGATTTGTTAACAGGGAATTTATCTATTTAACTGGTGGTTACCCTATGAGTATCAACATAATTCAAGTAATTTTAGTCTTGGTCGGTTACCGTGCCAACTTAAATCAATATCAATTGAGAACACCAATAATTTAGATTTGGACCACTCTACCACCATTTAGATACAACACAAAAGTTCATCTATTGTCAATGCTAAGTTTTTATGAAGAGGGGTAGTGTCACTCCAAATGGTGACGAATGCCAACACATGAGTAGCTAGTAAACTCATATGTTTCCCATGCGAATCAAAGATATTCAATTATGAACGAATATGTTCTCATAATAGTTTCAACAATAAGATACCTAAATTATTCATAACATGATTATAATTTACTCGAAATATGTACTAGTAGATCACATAAAAAATTCGTTTCTCACTATAAGTTGCATCTTTAATTTTTCCTCGGATGAAAAGGGAAGTTGTTACACTTTCACTTTCCTCCAAAAGAAGAACCAACTATTCCTTTGATGCTATGCAAGAAAATGCCATATGTTAATCGAATAATTATGGAGCGAGAAAGTCAATCAAGATGCAGGAAAAAGAAAACAAGAATGTGGTCGAGATTGAGAAATGGAGGTTTTGGGCTTTGGCGGGATGCAGGAAGAAGAGTGCCGACCATGCCAAGGGTAAGGAAGGTTGCTTGTGCTAGAGGTTTTCGAATCATTGCATTTAATTTCAAGATTTTCATTAAAATCAAATCTGTTTCTTGTTTTAAACTCCCCCACCACAACACCAAGAGACCAATCAATATTCCTCACGTCACCTTCATAGCTCTTATATATGGTTGCTAATCATAATTAGGTATAATGAATGATTACACAAGGGTCACTAAACGGAACTCTGTAATAATAAACAAATCGGTCACTTGAACTTTGTTTTTAACAAATTTGTCATTACAGTTTGGAGTAACTGACATGTTTAGTTACTTTTTATACTCTAACCCCATCCAAAACACACTTCATTAATTAACCTAGTTCTAGTTCACTTTGTTCCTTCCTCGGATATCATGTCCTATTTTTATGTGATAGCTAATTAGAAGATCTATGTGACCATTTCAGACAAGTTCCAGTGACTTTGATACAATGACATAACAATTTGGTTGAACAGATAATGGTAGCAGAGACATCGATTTTTTTTAACTTAGACATTTATAAAAGTTGTATCCAAAAATCATACATAGTACAAAAATAATCCAGTTAGTCGACCAATAGTCGAACTACCTATGAAGGGCTGTTAGTGCCACAAAAAGACAGCCCTATAAGCAGCCAGACCTGCAACATGAACAAACACAAAGACCACAAAATAGTCAAAATTGCACAAACAAAAAAAGCAACTACTCCTTAAGCTCTCCTTGCTACCAGCTAGGATATGAGGGAGACACATCTAGTGAATTGAATTAGAACATTACACCAAAAACCCAGGCAACAGGAATTTCGAAAGTTTAGTTATTCTAAACTTTTTCGGCAAATTCATTAAAAATGAATGTCTATTCGTTATTTGCTAGTATTTCCAAAATTTAGTGAACCCATTAATTAACAATCAAGTTTATTCTCTTTTGTATTTTCTTCAACATTTCTTCTCATGATCGTACAGTTTTGATTGGGAGTGTATTTTTTTCTGACTTTTGTAGCTCTATGGATTGTGATGTTTCTGTTGGGTTTTCCCTTTCCTTTTTATTAAGGCCCTCATTTTCTAGCTAACAATGGGAGTAGGGCCTTTTGTGTTTGGAGTAGGTGTTTTTGCCTTAGCAGGACAATCATGTCGAGGAGTGAAAATAATATTGTTTGTTTGGTGCCTGCCCTCTTTAACCGGTAGTGTGTGTTTACACAACTCACTTGAGTTTAGACTGGTGAGGTAGTTGGTTAATAGTACATAGGTGAGCAAATTATAGCATTGGTAAGTATCAGCTGTATATATCGAATGGAATTGTCACTCATGGGCAGTAACGCGTTTCATCCCATCCAAAATCGAATGGAATTGCCACAAATTCAGAAACAAGAAACAACATCAACAACAACCCAACTCCGAATACAACCGAATCTATATAAGATTAGAAAGTCAAAGTTGGATTTAGTCGATCTCCATTCAACTCATTTATTCCATTTGCAACAATCATATTGAGTTTTGAGACGCCAACTGAAATAATCGAAAACAAAATTACAGTATGTAACGATCCTATTCTGCCCGCTTTCCAAATTTTGATTCAACTCAACTTGTATGAATATAACCTAGTTCACACAGGAATTCGGTTTTGATTGTCCAAACAGAACAACAAGTTTGGTATCTGATATGTCCTGCAAATCTGTCTGGGAGTTCTGCCATACTCATAAAAGGAAGGGTAACAATTAAAAACTCTTACCAAACAAACAAAAAATCAAAGAAGAGGGGAAGAAACAAGGCAGCACCGCAGCAGCCTTCTAGCTATCGCTGCATAATGTAGTAGCCAAGCCTAGACTAGGAACCTACTGCCTGTTCAGTTAATGACTGCAATGAGAAATGAAGTTGTATTCTTTCTATCAGCCCATTTGAGCAGAACAGCAAAGCTCAGTCTCCAACAAAGGCGATAGCTCAGCTGTCTCTGACATTTGTAGTCAAGATCCCATTCCACAAGCAACCAACAACAAAAAGTTACTGTCTTTCCCCATATAGCAGCATTCCCACCATAGGAGCTTCAATTAATGGCTGCCCCTTCCAGACATACCAGACATTTAGACAGCACATAACTGATAACACTAACAGAACAGAACAGAAAAAAGACAACTCAGCGGTAGGAAAACTAGAAAATTGTTTGAAAAAAGGTGATTCTTTAACAAGGCTTCATCGTTTGTTCATGGGTGCCAAATGGGCTGCATGGAGCAAAGATGAAATGAAAGGGAAAATGAAGCCCATAACTTGCTTTCAGCACTTATATTATGTACAATGTTTTGAGAAAACAGACAGAATAGAAGCCACCCAAAATAAAATCAGATAGACTAGAGATTTAAGGTACAAGAACAAAATCGTGTGTGAAATTGCAACATTGGTAAACCCATAATGAAATCGTTACAAAATGTTGTCGACTTGGTTACTCGGACACACTGTAACTGGTACATGGGGTATGTATGACACAGTATCACAAACACTACTACTTCTATAGGATCCCTCAAAATAGATTTCCCATAAACTGAATATAGACAACAACTAGCACAAACAAGTGCATGAGTAAGTTGGAAAGGAATGATTCCAGCTAACTTAAAGGTTTTCACTTCAAGCAATGGAAACACAGCGTGTTTGGTAAAAAGGTTTTTATAACTCGAATAAAGTAAACCAATGGTTATATCCAAAAGGAAAAGAAGAACAAGATAAACACCTGATGAACTGAAATGCAGTGCATCATACAAGTCAAACCTGGAGTTCTCATGCAAGAACAAGATATGGGATTCCTTTCTATCAGAAAAGAGCATCTTACACCCAGCAACACGACACCATAGTCTGCATCAAGAAATGACAGTACCTATATCCAAATTGGCTCTCTGAACATGTTTCTTGATTCTATAACTCTATGCTGAATTACCAATGGATTGTTTTCAAAATCAGTATCCTAGAATTGCTCATGTTGTTGCCATGGTGGTATGCTTCCTTTAACAAAAGAGCCTTCTACATCAGACTGACAACTAAAACTATCACTAGAACAATATAGCTCTGCGATCAAAAGCGCTTGCTTTGAGCTACTTATCTCATGTTCAATCTCATTAACTTGAGGCATCCAAGGTTTTGGTGGTGTTGTTACCATCTCCCTCTGCTGGTCCGCCAGCCTCATTAGTGGATGCCGTTGAAGGTGGTGGTTCAGAGCATGCCCTCAAGACAGCCTCATTCTGCAAGAACAATGACAAAGTAAGAACTTAATGGGAACATAAACAATCGAGGTAGCGAGAGATTGAGGAAACATAATGCAATTAGTACCATTGTTACTTGAAGAGAACAACAAACGCTGCAGAAAGACTGCAACTTTATTTCTCGTTCGATGAATCAAATCATTTCCACAAGCAAATTCTTAAAGAGTCCTCTAAATCTTAAACTTGAGGCTGCAGCCCCAAACAACCACAGTTCTCTCCATAGTCCACAGTTCAATTGAGTTGGTGGAAACTAAAACACTTCAACGAGCTGAAATTTGCGGGAAACTAACTCATACCAAATACAATGAATACCCTAGTATCCAAGTCTAGAATTGCAATTCTGAAATCCCTCATCTAATTGCAAAGAGCCCAATTGATTACTCAGCTAAGACTCCCAAAACTGGGTTCCTACGATTCTGAAGTAAGAGTTAATAGGCGAAAGGTTAATCGAAGCCGGAGCTTGGAAGGAGAAAACGGACCTGCCAAACTCGCTGGAGGCGCTTCTTGGCGTTGGCCTTACGAGAGGGGGTGAGTTTGATTCTCTTCCAGACGAGTCCTCCCGAGTCGTGCTTCTTCACTATCTCCATCACTCTCGTCGCCCAAAATGCTCCGCCTGACATCTCTCTCTGTGCCGCCGGCGCCGCCGCTACTTCTTCCTTCGTCCGCCCGCTGCTAATTGGTCTTCGTCTCTGCGCTCCCGGCCAGCCAAAAGAGTTACAGAGTGTCGGCTCCGTGTTCTGGATCTATCTGTGGGTAATGGAAGCAAAGCCCAATTTGCCTATTTGTCCATTTGTAAATTACAAAAGCCTAGACCCAAAATTTAAACCAGCCCAGTCCACTCTCTGGTTTGGCAGACCAACTAAACTGAATGCTTTATTATTGACCACTAAGGTCACTTAATCATGTATTCATTTGGAAATTGGAATGGTGTTCACTTTCTAACTAATGGTATATTGCTTCGTGGCAGATTTACCATAGGGTTAGATTCGATAATTAACGTATTACCAGGGTTCAAGAAGGCGTGCCTAGGCGCACACCTAGGTTCAATTAGGCGCTAGGCGGTGGAGGATCGTCTTGACTTGGCCATAGGCGTTGTAAAAGGCGCTAGTAGCGCTTAGATTGCGCCTAGTGGAGAGAAGGCGTGCCTGGGCGTTCCTGGGCGAGTTTAGGCGGTTAAACCCAATACTCTTCATTTTGTCCTAGAAAATCAGAAACTTGCCTCTTGCCCTAGAAAATCAGAAACACGGGAAGTAACATCTGTTGCCGCCTGCCGCCCTAGCTCTCACCCCATCTGCTATCGCCTGCCGCCCTAGCTCTCGACCCATTTGCTGCTCTCTGCCGCCGCCGGAGAAAGTCATCGATCACTCTTCTCGCCTTCACACCGCTCCGTTGCTATGGTGGGAAATAAAGTCGAAACTCGTCAATTGCTGCTCCTTCCTTCTCCTCGGTACGTAGCACAAGCTTCTTGCCTTTATAAGCACCTATTAGTAGATGATTGGTCACTATTTGCTTGTTATTTGTTATGTTAAGTGTTTACTGTTAAGAACTAGGCATTGCTAATTTTATATGCACTTGGATTATATGAATTATTCCAGAAAATAGGAAATATTTGAGAATTTTTCCATTTATGCTCTAAACGCCTAGGCGCGCCTAGGCTACGCCTAATCGGGCAAGGCGCAAGTCAAGAGCCGAACCTTGCGTATTACACATTCATAAATAAAATATTTTATAAGATAAGAAAATAATTATATTGTTTCTTTTGTTTAGATTACTTTGATTGAGTCGGGATACTTTTTGAGTTCTATATGTTACTATAATCATTTAATCAACACTCATGCGCCCACTCGATCCAACTCAAGGCTCCAATATTTCAACTACTACTTGAGTGAGATAGTTAAATGATATGGATGCATAGCTTGTTGATTGGACAATTAAGATTAACACATCACATATGCGTATAAACTATACGCAATCACATGGTTGGTATGGGTTTATAAGTATCACCGTCAATTGGATAATGAGCAAATTGTAATTCTTCTTACTTACTAGGCTAAGCGAAAAATATAACAACCCAAACGAATGAACAATTATAATCTTAAAATTAAATAAAAAAATCATCTCCTAATAAAGTCGTAACCATCATGACTTCCCATATTTAACTTACAACAACAAAAACAAACAAACAAACAAAATATCATGAACAAAATTTCGAACCTAACTCATTCAATATGCCCTAAAAAAAATTGATACCTTATCTCGGCTCTTGATTTGTTCTGCCCCCTCCTTAATCTTGTTCTCCGTATAATTATAAATTAATTACTGTTCTGGGGTTAATGTTTACATCTCCATGGGTTGTGGCGCTTCCAAGTTCGACGCCCACGAAGGTGCGGCGGCGGGAGCGCAACAAACCCACCACCACGACGTCGATTCCCCTCATCCGCCGCCGGCCGCCACCGATGAGGGAGCTGGCGATGCCGGAGCAAGGAAGAGCAGCGTATCGTCTGCCAGTAGGTTACGAGGGCTGAGGAAGATCAAGGAGGAGGTGCATGCTATTAGAAGACATCATCATCATCATCATCATGAGGTTGATAAGCTGTTGTTGCCGCCACCGCCGCCGACTAAGGACGGCGGGAGGATGGTGGTGGTTGTGAAGAAGGCAGCGGCAGGGGAGGTAGGGAAGGATGAATTCGGCGGCGGCGGCGGCAGAGGAGGAGGAGGAGAAGGGCATAGGGAAGACAGCATTATGGTTTCTCTTGGGTCACCGAGCTTCCGGGTTTATTGTGTTGATGATGACTTGTTGCCTCATAAGGTGGTGGATCATCATCATCATCATCATGATTCTCAAACTCACGATGATCACGAAGGTGAGTGTTAATCTTCTCTAGCAATTGGTGTATTGTGTGGATTTTTGTGAGAATCTTGATTGATTGGGTTTGTTCATGAGTTTGATTTACAGTATCGTTGATAAAAGTATTGCATAATTATACATAGAGGCGTACAAGCTATTCAAAACTTTGAACGTTGTTTAGATGACATTTAAAATGGAACTCATAACTTCAATGATCAAGTTTTTTTTTCTTCTTTCAAATATTGTGGCTAAATACGAGTTTGATGAGTTTATGTTATTTCGTGAACTTTTAAGTCTCATGAGGATTGATAATCTATTATTTGTGTATCAAATATCATTGATCTGAATTATAAGTTTTTGTGTTCTTGAGCAGTTAACATGGACGATGAAGAAAAGGAAAACAAAGTACCAGTAGAGGATGGATCAAATAAGGTATTTGTAATAGATGAGAAATGATATGAGGTTTTATGTTTGATTTTGTAATATTCATAATTAAGGGGTGCTGCATGTTGACTAATTGATTAAGACATAATTGTAGGGAGAAGAAGGGAAAAGGAATAAGAAGGGGAAGAGAGGAAGGGGGATAATGAGTGTGTTGCCAAGAGGGGGAGGATCAGGTGGGATGAGACACATTCTCCACCCACATCGTTTAGGCAACCATTCTAATCAACCACATTAACCCTAATTATGCATTGCTCAATGGAGAATTGATTAAATATTATGATCATCTCATATGTATCCTCCTCCTATTATGCTTCTATGAGAAATTTGTAACCTCGTTTTGATCAATTGCTTTGTATGTTGTTATGTCGTTTGTGGTTTTGAATCAAATTCAAACTTATTTGTGAAAGAGATAAAAAGTAAAGGACACATGAAGCCTGAAAAAAGTTTGATTTTGTGTATATGGCTTTTAAATTTTTTATTCTTTTATCGTATTGGTATAAATCAAAAGTTCATTAACAACATCGATTGTAGCTAATCTTGATCTGAATGTAATGCGCAATAAAATTGTATAGAGTTTGTGACCAGATGATCTCTCGTATGGAACTCCATTCAAATCTTTCTATCAACATTTCATCAATTCTGTTAATCCAAGACCCTATCGATAGCTTGAGGCTCACGAAATGCATCAATGACCTAATCATTTGTTATCGTCGTTGACCCAAAGTCAATATCAAGACCCAAAACCCTACATATATAATTGCACCTTCCCTCCACCAAACCGTCAAGCTTGCCCTCAATTCAATTATGGCTGTTGGTATCGATGAAGTTCAAGTCACATCCCAAATGATGAATCCCACAATATTAAAAGTAGGCTGGTCAAACATAGACATGATCATAAAACTAAGATTAATCAACCGTGATTAGCATCCCTTTCAGAAGAATAATCTCAATTGTCATGCCGTGTTTAGGAATTTAACGACCAACTATTAAAAATGCGGCTTAATTATATGAATTTTTGTTCATTCACATTTTAATCATCGATCCAAAAGTGCAATTTTCATTTGAAACTAAACCATGTATGTCCCCCTTTCTAGCTCAAGTTACATGCACCTCTCTTTTTTACCCTTTCATGGATTCAATTACGTATGGGGCCAAAATATCACTAGTAATACTATATAACATAGGTTCAATTTTTTTTATCGTTGGACTCTAGTGGTACCATAAGTTACTAGAACGAGAGATATATTTCATATTAAAATCATAATAAAGTTGGATTATGTAGAATCTAATCATATAATCAATTTTGTGAAAAAATATTGATCCATATACACGATATACTACAAACACATGTATTATACATGTGGTCCTACTACGGTGACCATTGCTTTTGAGCTCCTGATTCGAATTTGAGTGTTGATGTTGGGGAGGGATCATCTTGTATATCAATTCCAAGGTTGTCAAACCGGTTTATGCCAGTGTGCCGGTTTAGCAAGTGAAATGGTTCAACCGGTGGCACATACCGGTTTGTGCCGGTTCATGCCGGTGAATATTACAAATAAAATTATAAATACTCATATTTAAACATGACATTTAACGGCAATACCTAAATATTTATACTTGAATCCAACAAATAACATCAATATTTATCTTTTATACTCATAAAATAAATAATAAAATAATTTTTATCAATTAAATTCTTTAAATTAAAGTCATTTTACTTAGAGATTCGTATACCGATCATGCCGGTCATACCGGTAGTGTCACACCGATTTTATGACCCATATCGGTTGAACCCAGTACAACCGATGGCACGCCGGCCGGCGTGACAACCATGATCAATTCCTACTGTTAACCTGACCCTCAAAATTCTAGTGTCGCTATTATGGAGAACAAAACACAACATGTTAAGGGGCACAAGACATATATTTCACATTCCTGGAAACCTCCCACCATGATGGATGTGATGATCATACTATGGTCAAACTTTATCTTGATTTGAACGAAGTTTTCTCGGTGTATAACCTAATCTCCAATTAATTATGAAAAGTGTTGATGAATTTTTTAATTTTTTATATGGGTGATATATGTTTGATCTTTAAATAGGTATTCTTCGAACCTAATACCTTCAAGTTCAAGACTTATGGTATTACTACGGGAGCAAACCCTTCTTAGCTAAGAGTGTTGAATTTCTTGTGGTGAGCTATGAAATCATGTTTCCCCCTTCAAATAGGATGAATGTTCCCCGTATACATACGAGCACTTCTACTATGCTCTAAAGTATGAGTGCTTTAATGTACAACTTGAAGTTGTAGCATGATGTTAAATGTATAAGTTTAGGTTGTACCATAAAGGAATTTGTACCATCACATAAATGTACAAGTTCAAGTTGTACCAAGAAAAAATTTGTACAAAAAAGTATAGGTACAATCTAAAGTTATACCATAACGTAAAAGGTATAACTTGAAGTTATACCATAAAAGGAAAAACCTATAGCACAAATACTATATAGCATAGTAAAATTCCTCATACATACAACTCTTCTCTTGCAAGTTATAATATAAACTAGGTTAATACCCAGTTGCAAATTTTGAAGAAATTCCTTGGCACCTCATCCAAAGTTTACATCATCTCTTAATTTGCTTCCTCTCTAGTAATTAATTAAGTTTTCCTAATCAAGCATTATTAGTTTGACGAGAGACATTTAGTGACCCTAACATCATATATATTTTCTTTAACTTTTTTTTACTTCTATATATTAGCTTTTTTTTTTAACTCAATCTATTAGCTTTTGTTAGAATTGTTCTTTTGTGGCATTGACTCAAGACCGTTACTTCTCTTGAGGGCTGTTTAGTTGGTGGTCTAGTTGGTCTTGTTTATAATGACAAAACCAAATTGAATTGGGTTGTGAAAAATGCAATGCATTAAAATATAATAGTAGAATGATGTCAAAGAATGTCACAAGTTAACTATGTAATATGCAAGGTTTAACGCATAACTTATTTATGGATCTAGAGAAAATATTTGAGTGGTTAAGTTCGTCAACAACAAATTCACATTCTTCTTATTTGATGTGAATAATTAAATATCATACTAATAAATATGGATGTCTAAGACAATAAGATAACATGAGAAATGCGATGCAATTTCTGCAATAAGTTGAATTCCAACCATGAACTTATGTAGATATGAACATTTATAAAAATAAATTGAACGCAAAAACAAGATACAGTTACTTTAAGAACCTATTATATTCAAATGATATATCAAATTAAAAGAGGAATAAAAAGAATTTAGAGAGAAGATGGATGGGAAAATGTGGGGAAATATATTATTAGAATATATCTGACTAAACTCAATCATGCAGTCAAAGTTTGGGATATTATGAATGTAACGAAACACATAAAATAATAAAGGGATAAATAATAATTAAATAAAAGTTTCATCATGGCAAATTGTTTTATTTCCTTTCATTATCAGCAATATCTGACTTTGACTGCCCTCCTTTTTTTTCTGTTTTATTTCATCACTCTAAGTAAGCTGTAATTCCACGTGTTAATCTTCTAATGATTTACACATCCACAATTCTCCATAACTTTTATGTCTTTTCTTTTTTTATGAATCATAACTTTTATGTCTCTTGATCCTTCAACTATACTCTAACTTAACAAATAACCTCAATTTCCACACAACAAATATGTTGATCTACTATTTTTAAATATCTCGTTCAAATTTATTATAAGTAGATCGGTGTTTAGTAGATTACATACTACCTGTACTTCTAAGTTTTTTATTTACTCGTTAGTTTCATTATCATACTTTTTATTGTTAAATTGAGGCCACAAAGTCGGGAAATACAAGAAGAAGTGGTTGAGCTACATATATAGCAATAAACAATCCACTACAGCCATAGAAGGTTAAGTTTAGGTTTCCCTGTTTTGCTGGACTTGTCGTGGGAAACTATTTCTCATCACATCTTCTCTAATGAGCTTCACCAGGTTCGGCGGTGGGTCTTCTAGTTCATACGTTCCAAATGATAGATGAGACTGTGTTTCGAGAGCCAGTCAGTGACACTATTCCATTCACAATACTTATGAACTAAATGAACCATCGACTCTTGAGCAATAAGTTTGCGGATAGCTCCAAGAATCATGGCATAAGGATGAGCTTGATCATTTCGCTTTTCAATCAATTCCAAAGCAAGTTTTGAGTCTGACTCGAGAATCGGGAATTGAATCCCCTTTTCCATGCCAGGAGTAGACCTTGATACATCCCCCACAACTTTGCCATTAGAGCTATTCCTGTTCCAAGTTTGCTGCAGAAGTCATTGATCCAATCACCATAGTTGTTTCGAAGAGCTCCACCAGTTGTGACCTGACCCTAATTCATCTGAACAACCCCCATCATTGTTCAACTTCCACCAACCGACTGTTAGAGCCCTCCATCCTATAAGCGATTCAACTCTCGTGGTAGTCGTGCTTCGTGCTGAGATTTTCTTTCATCTTCGTTGTTTCCCAAACTTTAGCCCAATCTTGGGCTTTAGATATGACATAATTGTGAAGCTTGGAAGGAGATAGTTTTTTCCCTTTGAAATATGCTTCAGTATCATATTAATATCTCATCTTCTATTATGCACCCACTTCCATGACATTGTGAGTTTAAACATTGAGAGAAATAAATAAACGACTTACTTCTTTTAAGTAGTTAATCCGGTATTTTATAAATAACTTTAGTTTTGGGAAATTCCGATTGCAACATAATTCAACCATTTATGCTCACTAAGGTCTGCCATTCCCAACACTAATACTTCAATAAGTTAATGACATTTTAGGCCAAATATTATGTTGTCTGATCACATTTTTCTGCAAGTATGATTGATTTTCAAACTCACATATATAATTGATAAGAAGTCTAAATTGGGTTGAGAGATGGCTAAAATAATCTTCTCTTGCCTGAATCCATTCTCAATCCATCTTTCTCGTGTCCCCGGTACTAGGACCATAGGACATACAAAACCGTCTGAAGGCAACTTAAATCTCTACCATCGGGATTGGGGATCATCATAGGTTTGCCATTAAATTGTTATAGCATCACCCCGACTAGTCCTTCCGAAGCCATCATGTCGTGATTATTACTTGAGAAGAGCTGCAAACAACTTATTATGATTTGTGGATTCAACAAACACAAACATAAATTGCGTGTAATGTTCCTTATACTTGAGACTTGACGAAATGTATCATGTCATTAATGTACTCTTCTCATGCCAAATTCATCTTTTTGAAAAGAATGCGCCAGCTTCATACAAAAAAAATCATGTATTATATGGTATATAGATAGATAGTTAAGAGGTCATAGAATCTCAACTTCATCCTACATTCCTACTAATTCTCAAAATTTGGAGGTGATGGCTTTCGAAATAGAAAAACTTGACCCCTCGTTTCAAGTTTATATTATTCACTTATAAAACCATTACCAATAAATTTATATTTGCGGAGTTCTAACATTATCCATTAGTGGAGAATATTTTGAAGATTATGACTTGTAAAATGAATACTTTTATTTTCCAAAATTGCCATGAATCTGCTCATTTTCAATACATGTTCTCTATAGGCTGCCCAAAATGTTACTTCTTTTTACAAATAATTCGAATATTTTGTGTAATAATTAACATCGGTCAAGAAGTTTGGATCGACAGACAAACCATTTTCTAGATCAGAATTGCAGATCGATTGTAGTATAATTTCGCTTAATAATTGTATTGAAATGAGTTATAAACATAATGATGCTTTATTTATTTATTCAATATTTTATTTATGAAGGGTCTGCCCATTTTACTCACCCTTTGATCAGTTACGAGTCGTTTTTTTGACCCAAACAAGCGCCGGTGGCCAGCTGCGTGCTTCTCCTTCTTCCTTCCTTTCCCATTTCCCCTTCTTCCCCCATTTCCTTGCCTATTCCTCCATTCCCTTCTTCTATGTCGTTGAATTAATCGAATTGGATTCCCGGCATTCAAAACCCATTTCTTCAATTCTCGATTCGGAGCTCCTAAATGCCTCCATCGCCGGAATTTCGCGGAAAATAGCGCGCTCGAGGAAGGGCTTCGCGCCTCGTCTTTCTCCGTGCGTGTGTGTAATTTCTGGTGTTCGTGGTCTCTCTTTCTGCTCGTTACTCCGATTGATTCTCTCCCGTCTCCGGGGAGGGCGGCCGTCGGGGTATCTTCTGCGTCTTGGGCTTTTCTTCTGGAGGTTAGGGTTTGTCCGCGCGTGTGGGAAAAATGAAGTCCCCGCTCGGTAAGTTCCGGGGATTTAAACTCCACAAAAGTGATTCGAAAGATAAAAGGGACTTCCTGCATCCAGCTCACTTAGATGAGCTCGCTCAAGCTGCCGAGGTACCCGAATTCTTCCCATATCTCTTTATCACTCACTGGTTATGGGCTGTCTCACAATTCAGTAGGAATGCCGATCCCATTTGTGTAAGATTGTAGTTTAATTCATAAATCAATTTGCTTGGATAAGCCATGCTTACTCATAATTGAGCTCAAGAGGTTAAGGGAACTTGGGAATGTATTGATTCATCATTATGAGGTCAAGTTATGTAAGGGTGTTTTAGCAGAGCTTAGGAGATAGAAATTCTAGAAGTAATAATACATATTCTTCATAGTTCAAAGTTTGGTTCTCCTTATGTCTGACCTTCATCGCGTAAGATAATCATTCAATCGTTTATTGTTTTTTCTATTCCCTTTATAGGACATGCAGGATATGAGAAACTGCTATGATAGCTTACTTTCAGCAGCTGCTGCAACAGCAAACAGTGCTTACGGTAAATGCTGAACACATGAGCTTCAATTATGTAGACTTGTTTGCACGCCCACACCCGAGATTCATGATGATCGCAGTTATTAATTCTGAATTTGAACTCAATATGAATTTGGTGCAATGGTGCCTATTCTCTTAGTATGGAGACAATTAGTATGCTCTTATTTCTTGGAATATTTTCTGTTTTCTCAAGTACAGTGATCTTATTTTCATTTCGCCTTACCTTATGATGCCAAATCTTTATCACTAAATGAAAGATACGTGTCAACCTTCATGGAGCTATTTTCTTTCAGATATGGCTTGAGCGCTCTATCCTTTTGGTAAACATTCGTACAACATTCTATTATACTTAATCCTCCTTTTCAGAATTCTCGGAGTCACTGCGGGAAATGGGGACCTGTTTGCTGGAGAAAACTGCATTGCACGATGACGAAGAAAGTGGTAATTCCTTGTGTGAGACTAGATTATCTAGTATTTTATAATTTAAACTTGTTTGTAGAATCAAAATCATTCACAGTTTGTAGACAGTTGAAAAAAGCTGAACTTTAGTAACTTGCCATATTTTGTAATTATATTCATTTCTGTGGCCTCAATAGATCCTTGTTAGGAAACTGCAATAGAATGGCAAACATAGTATGAATATTATGGTGTGCGATCCTATGTTTTTTGGAACTCGAGAGAGAGAGGCATGCCTAATTTTCCGCTTTGATTAGACCACTACTTTTCAACTTTTCCATCTTCGACCTGATTACATGTCTTGATCAGTGCTTCATCTCCATGAGCTTGAACCCACAGACGGTGACCATCTGTTATGGTGCATGTTGTCGAGACTATTTGTCTTGGTAGCTAGTAGGTACAAGTGGGAGTTCTAATGATTAGATAAGAGCTGGTATTAGGGTTTCCTCTGAATATTGTCTTCAGCATGTTGTAGATGGGATTTCAATCTATCCAGTAACTGTCTAATAATGAATCATGCATTCACAGGCAAAATTCTGTTAATGTTGGGGAAAGCACAATTTGAACTTCAGAAGTTTGTTGATAACTACGTAAGTCGTTGATCTTTGTTTTTCTCTCTCTTTTAATATCTGTTTTGGTCTCTTCCACGAGATGACCTTTTCTTTGAGCTTATATAACCTTTTTTCTTATTGTAATTCAGCGGTCTCACATATTCCTGACAATTACAAATCCATCTGAATCTCTTCTAAACGAACTTCGGACAGTTGAGGTTCGTCTATGATCATTCAACTGATTTTAAGTGTTTATGGAAGAGATTTTAAAATTCTCTTCTTGTGGTGCAGGATATGAAAAGACAGTGTGATGAGAAAAGGTATGTATTGGCTAATCCTGCTTTACATTTTATGCAGTTTCTTTTCTAACTTATTTCCGGTTAGTGGTTCAGGAATGTTTATGAATATATGGCTGCCCAGCAAAAAGAAAAGGGAAGGTCAAAGAGTGGAAAAGGCGAAAGTTTCACTATGCAGCAATTACGATCTGCTCATGAAGAATACAATGAAGAGGCAACATTGTGCATTTTCCGGTTGAAATCTCTGAAGCAAGGGCAGTCCAGAAGCCTGTTAACTCAGGCTGCTCGTCATCATGCAGCTCAGGTTGTTTTTTTTATGCAATGTCCAGGGCTTCTGACTACCATTACTTTCTTTGAAGGCTGCTATATTATTTACTTACTTTTCTTTATTTGCAGTTAAATTTCTTTAGGAAAGGGCTGAAGTCCCTTGAGGTGGTCGATCCACAAGTAAAACTAGTTACCGAACAACATCATATTGATTACCAGTTCAATGGACTGGAAGATGACAGTAGGGAGGATGGTGAGGACGATGCTGAAGCTATTAATGATACCACTGAAGGCGGGGAACTAAGTTTTGATTATAGACTAGATAATAAGAAGCGTTATGATACTTTGCCTTCAAGGAGTTCAATGGAGGTGAGGGACCTGAGGTTACTGACGTTCCTTTTGGCTGTTTGGGATTTGATTTCAAAGAACTGAAACTTTGCTAGAGAATGAGTCTTTCTCTTTTTCTTTTCGTGGTATTTCTTTTGTTATGAAGGCTACCCTTTTCTTCTAATCTGTACCCTTTCTAATGCTTACCAGGTTGATGATCTTTCATTCCCACGGCATTTTGGAACAAACGCAGAGGTACTATTCAGTGTCCTTCTCTTGGATTTCAATGTTGGTAGCTAACTTCTTGATCAACATATGAAATGCATCATTTTACATGGCGAAATTTTTATCTGCATCCCTTTTGTGGTTCTCTTTCTATGAGTTGTTTTGGCATCTCATTGTGCATCTTACTGCAGTTGAACCCAGACAGAAACCACGGAGATTTACCAATCTCAAGTAGAGAACCTAAGTCAGGGAGTCACTCTGCACCAATTTTCCCTGAAAGGAAGTTCGATCCAGGCGAAAGAATAAGACAAATGCAACACTCGCCAAGGAAGAGCAACAATGCTTACGTGCTCCCCACGCCAGGCGATGCCAAATTTGCAGTCTCTTCCCGAACAAGCACTTCAACTTCACAGACAAAGTCAACAACAGATTATGGTATGCGGGCTCCTCTGTGGCATTCTTCCCCACTGGATCAAAAGAGGCCCGAGAAAGATCCTGGAGAGAGCAATGGTAGTAGTAATCCCTCCACCACCCAGTTGCTGCCTCCTCGATTGTCAGAGGGAATCTCATATGATAACAACAAGGGAGTAAGACAAGCTTTCTCAGGCCCAATAATTGGCAAGAGCATGCCGACGACCAAGCAAGGTGTTGTTACATCTCCAAGAGTATCGCCAACAGCTTCGCCGCCTCTGTCCTCTCCCAAGATCAACGAGCTTCATGAACTCCCTAGGCCGCCTGGCATTTTGGCTGGGAAACCGGTCAAACCTACAGCATCCAGTGGCCACTCTGCTCCTCTTGTTAGGAATAATGAGCCTTACGTGGTTCACCGGCATTCTGGTGGTGGGACTACTTTGGCTTCCCCTCTTCCCATACCACCATTATCAGTTTCCAGGAGTTTCTCGATACCTTCTAGTAGCCAGAGAGCGATGAGTATTAAGAACAAGGGTGGAGGAGAGGCTGATTCTCCGCCACTTACACCGCTATCACTTGCGAATCTTAAACTGGCAGCCGCAGTGCCTGACGTATTCCCTCGTGCTGGCCAAATTAGAGGTATGTGATAATCTGTTACATTTGTCTTAGAGCTTACGAAATCAGAGATTCAGTTGCCTGAATTGTTCCCTCGTGACGGTACAGGTGGGAGCTGATGAGCGAGGGCACAAAGGTTGTACCTTTCGCCTCATTTGTTTTGTTTCTTTTGAGGGATGAGTTTATGGTATGGTGGAAAGTGACAATTTCTGATAGGGTCTCTCAACATTCATCATGAAGCTCTGGATACTGTAAATATGGTATGGGATGGAAGTGAACTGCCACTACGCTATTTACTTTACTATTACTCCTACCACTACTACTAGTAGTTGTAAGCAGAAATGTGAAATCCCACGAAATTTTCTTCTTTGAACTGTCAGAGGGTTTGATTTGATTATGCTGGAGAATGAAGCTCTCCACATAACGTTTCATTTCTTTGTAACTCGTCGTCAGTCTCTGTATATTGTTTGATTTTTGGGGGGATTTTTTGGTGACTTGTTAGAGGGGTTACCCCCACTTTGCTGTCTAACTGAGCTCAATCAATAGAATCAAATTTTCTCTACTTGTTTGCTCTTTACTCGTGTGGATCAGTGAACCTACGCGAGTGATTGATATACGAATCGAACTTTGTCTAGTTCGGTTGTCCTTTCAAATTGTAGTTGATATCATGATATGAATGTGACAAACGAATTATAGTACAAACTGGCCACGAAGTGAGTTTACATGCTGCAATGATTTTATTTTAACCAAACCTATTGAATTCCTAAAAATTATCCAAACGTTAACTCTCCGTCAACTTTTCTGTTAGTAATGCTGACTAAGTATGACCATAATGAGTTGACTTCCTACGTGGCGGTCAGAATACCATCATTTACTATTTTTAATAAAAAGATTATCAAAAAACAAAACAAAATCTCACCTCTCACGTGGACGAAATAAGTAACGGTAACAGAATGAATGCCCAGACTTTGATAAATTATAATACGTTTGGATAATAAATAGAATTTCTATAGATTTGGTTAAAATAAAAGAATCTGAAAAAGGTTTGGGTAAAAAATAGACATTGCCCATGATTTTTTGGTGGATTCGGCCTGAGGCTATTCTTCAACGACGATTAATTCCATCCAGGCCAATTTGGCCGATTTCTTCCGGGGGTCCATTTTTGCAGACTCCAAAGGGGTACCATCACAGATTTCGGGCGATTTTTCCGAAATGCCATTTTCTTTCGATTTTGGAGGCTACTGATCACGGATTTGGCTCGACGCTATTCTCCACCGATAATATAGTCTATTGATCCTATTCTGCGTCGATGATTAAGTCAATTAAGCACCGAGTTGGGCCAATATATTTTAGGATGGCATTTTCGTTATTATTTGAGCAATTTTTTTGAAAGTCCATTTTCCTTGGATTTTGAAGGATAAAGATGGTGGATTCGGCCTGAGGCTATTCTTCAACGACGATTAAGTCCATCGAGGGCCAATTTGGGCGGATTTCTTCCGGGTCCATTTTTGGCAGACTCCAAAGGGGTACTATCACAGATTTCGGGCGATTTTTCCGAAATGCCATTTTCTTTCGATTTTGGAGGCTACCGATAACGGATTCGGCTCGAGGCTATTCTCCACCGATAATAAAGTCTATTGATCCTATTCTGCGCCGATGATTAAGTCAATTAAGCACCGAATTGGGCCAATATATTTTGGGATGGCATTTTCGTAATTATTTGAACAATTTTTTTCGAAAGGCAATTTTCCTTTGATTTTGAAGGATAAAGATGGTGGATTCGGCCTGAGGCTATTCTTCGACGACGATTAAGTCCATCCAGGGCCAATTTGTGCGGATTTCTTCCGGGTCCATTTTTGGCAGACTCGAAAGGGGTACCATCACAGATTTCGAGCGATTATTCCGAAATGCCATTTTCTTTCGATTTTGGAGGCTACAGATTACGGATTCGGCTCGAGGCTATTCTCCACCGATAATAAAGTCTATTGATCCTATTCTGCGCCGATGATTAAGTCAATTAAGCACCGAATTGGGCCGATATATTTTGGAATGGCATTTTCGTAATTATTTGAGCAATTTTTTTCGAAAGGCCATTTTCCTTGGATTTTGAAGGATAAAGATGGTGGATTCGGCCTGAGGCAATTCTTCGACGACGATTAAGTCTATCCAGGGCCAATTTGGGCCGATTTCTTCCGGGTCCATTTTTGGCAGACTCCAAAGGGGTACCATCACAGATTTCGGGCGATTTTTCCAAAATGTTATTTTCTTTCGATTTTGGAGGCTACAGATCATGGATTCGGCTCTAGGCTATTCTCCACCGATAGATAAAGTCTTTTGATCCTATTCTGCGCCGATGATTAAGTCAATTAAGCACCGAATTGGGCCAATATATTTTGGGATGGCATTTTCGTAATTATTTGAGCAATTTTTTCGAAAGGCCATTTTCCTTGGATATTGAAGGATAAAGATGGTGGATTCGGCCTGAGGCTATTCTTCAACGACGATTAAGTCCTATCCAGGGCCAATTTGGGCCGATTTCTTCCGGGTCCATTTTTGGCAGACTCCAAAGGGGTACCATCACAGATTTCGGGCGATTTTTCCAAAATGTTATTTTCTTTCGATTTTGGAGGCTACAGATCATGGATTCGGCTCTAGGCTATTCTCCACCGATAATAAAGTCTTTTGATCCTATTCTGCGCCGATGATTAAGTCAATTAAGCACCGAATTGGGCCAATATATTTTGGGATGGCATTTTCGTAATTATTTGAGCAATTTTTTCGAAAGGCCATTTTCCTTGGATTTTGAAGGATAAAGATGGTGGATTCGGCCTGAGGCAATTCTTCGACGACGATTAAGTCTATCCAGGGCCAATTTGGGCCGATTTATTCCGGGTCCATTTTTGGCAGACTCCAAAGGGGTACCATCACAGATTTCGGGCGATTTTTCCAAAATGTCATTTTCTTTCGATTTTGGAGGCTACAGATCATGGATTCGGCTCTAGGCTATTCTCCACCGATAATAAAGTCTTTGATCCTATTCTGCGCCGATGATTAAGTCAATTAAGCACCGAATTGGGCCAATATATTTTGGGATGGCATTTTCGTAATTATTTGAGCAATTTTTTTCGAAAGGCCATTTTCCTTGGATTTTGAAGGATAAAGATAGTGGATTCGGCCTGAGGCAATTCTTCGACGACGATTAAGTCTATCCAGGGCCAATTTGGGCCGATTTCTTCCGGGTCCATTTTTGGCAGACTCCAAAGGGGTACCATCACAGATTTCGGGCGATTTTTCCAAAATGTTATTTTCTTTCGATTTTGGAGGCTACAGATCATGGATTCGGCTCTAGGCTATTCTCCACCGATAATAAAGTCTTTTGATCCTATTCTGCGCCGATGATTAAGTCAATTAAGCACCGAATTGGGCCAATATATTTTGGGATGGCATTTTCGTAATTATTTGAGCAATTTTTATCGAAAGGCCATTTTCCTTGGATATTGAAGGATAAAGATGGTGGATTCGGCCTGAGGCTATTCTTCAACGACGATTAATTCCATCCAGGGCCAATTTGGGCCGATTTCTTCCGGGTCCATTTTTGGCATACTCCAAAGGGGTACCATCACAGATTTCGGGCGATTTTTCCGAAATGCCATTTTCTTTCGATTTTGGAGGCTACTGATCACGGATTTGGCTCGAGGCTATTCTCCACCGATAATATAGTCTATTGATCCTATTCTGCGCCGATGATTAAGTCAATTAAGCACCGAGTTGGGCCAATATATTTTAGGATGGCATTTTCGTAATTATTTGAGCAATTTTTTTCGAAAGTCCATTTTCCTTGGATTTTGAAGGATAAAGATGGTGGATTCGGCCTGAGGCTATTCTTCAACGACGATTAAGTCCATCCAGGGCCAATTTGGGCGGATTTCTTCCGGGTCCATTTTTGGCAGACTCCAAAGGGGTACCATCACAGATTTCGGGCGATTTTTCCGAAATGCCATTTTCTTTCGATTTTGGAGGCTACAGATCACGGATTCGGCTCGAGGCTATTCTCCACCGATAATAAAGTCTATTGATCCTATTCTGCGCCGATGATTAAGTCAATTAAGCACCGAATTGGGCCAATATATTTTGGGATGGCATTTTCGTAATTATTTGAACAATTTTTTTCGAAAGGCCATTTTCCTTGGATTTGAAGGATAAAGATGGTGGATTCGGCCTGAGGCTATTCTTCGACGACGATTAAGTCCATCCTGGGCCAATTTGTGCGGATTTCTTCCGGGTCCATTTTTGGCAGACTCCAAAGGGGTACCATCACAGATTTCGGGCGATTTTTCCGAAATGCCATTTTCTTTCGATTTTGGAGGCTACAGATCACGGATTCGGCTCGAGGCTATTCTCCACCGATAATAAAGTCTATTGATCCTATTCTGCGCCGATGATTAAGTCAATTAAGCACCGAATTGGGCCAATATATTTTGGGATGGCATTTTCGTAATTATTTGAGCAATTTTTTTCGAAAGGCCATTTTCCTTGGATTTTGAAGGATAAAGATGGTGGATTCGGCCTGAGGCAATTCTTCGACGACGATTAAGTCTATCCAGGGCCAATTTGGGCCGATTTCTTCCGGGTCCATTTTTGGCAGACTCCAAAGGGGTACCATCACAGATTTCGGGCGATTTTTCCAAAATGTTATTTTCTTTCGATTTGGAGGCTACAGATCATGGATTCGGCTCTAGGCTATTCTCCACCGATAATAAAGTCTTTTGATCCTATTCTGCGCCGATGATTAAGTCAATTAAGCACCGAATTGGGCCAATATATTTTGGGATGGCATTTTCGTAATTATTTGAGCAATTTTTTTCGAAAGGCCATTTTCCTTGGATTTTGAAGGATAAAGATGGTGGATTCGGCCTGAGGCAATTCTTCGACGACGATTAAGTCTATCCAGGGCCAATTTGGGCCGATTTCTTCCGGGTCCATTTTTGGCAGACTCCAAAGGGGTACCATCACAGATTTCGGGCGATTTTTCCGAAATGTTATTTTCTTTCGATTTTGGAGGCTACAGATCATGGATTCGGCTCTAGGCTATTCTCCACCGATAATAAAGTCTTTGATCCTATTCTGCGCCGATGATTAAGTCAATTAAGCACCGAATTGGGCCAATATATTTTGGGATGGCATTTTCGTAATTATTTGAGCAATTTTTTTCGAAAGGCCATTTTCCTTGGATATTGAAGGATAAAGATGGTGGATTCGGCCTGAGGCTATTCTTCAACGACGATTAAGTCCATCCAGGGCCAATTTGGGCCGATTTCTTCCGGGTCCATTTTTGGCAGACTCCAAAGGGGTACCATCACAGATTTCGGGCGATTTTTCCGAAATGCCATTTTCTTTCGATTTTGGAGGCTACAGATCACGGATTTGGCTCGAGGCTATTCTCCACCGATAATATAGTCTATTGATCCTATTCTGCGCCGATGATTAAGTCAATTAAGCACCGAATTGGGCCAATATATTTTAGGATGGCATTTTCGTAATTATTTGAGCAATTTTTTTCGAAAGTCCATTTTCCTTGGATTTTGAAGGATAAAGATGGTGGATTCGGCCTGAGGCTATTCT